TTTCTTCAGTTTATTCCACGGCTGTTTGTGGGACACTGTTGTACACAAAATTAGTTACCGCATTCACCCACAGAAAAAACAATCATTCACTTTACAGTATGTGCTGTGAAGCTCTTTAGGACGTCTTATACGCTCTCTATTAGTGACATCATCCACAGACATGGGGTTAACTTCCACATATATATGGATGACACCCAACTCTATCTCCCTGTCTCCACCCTTGACTCCAGGACCACTGCTGTCCTGACAGAATGTCTGTCGGACATCAAGTCCTGGATGAGAGCCAACTTTCTTCAGTTGAATGTCAACAAGACCGAGGCTCTCCTGATTGGCTCCTGTCAGCGCCTTCTCGCCTTACTAAGCCAATCTGGAACCTTGGCGTCTTGTTTGACCCTCAACTATCCTTTCTACCACCACATCCGTGCCATGACCCGCTCCGCATCCTTCATGGCCTTGCTCCATGGCCTCGCTCCCCCCTACCTCTACGACCTCCTAAGCCCCTACCAACCTGCCCGCTCCCTCCGCTCAGCGGACTCTGGCCTGCTTCACTTCACCCGCCTCGCCCGGCCCACCATGGTGGGCAAGCCTTCAGCCACTCTGCAAATGTAATTTTGTTGTTGTTCAGTTTTGAATGGTGTCGTGAGTTTGTTAACATCCAAGGACTACACTGGAGTTTCACCTTGCACCGTGTGCTCAAAATCCCCACTACTGTCCTTAAATCCAAAACCTTCTGATCTAGAGGCAGGAGTGCGACTGACTGAGTCAAATTGAAAATAAGTTTAAGAGAAGTCTATAAAAAGCTCCCCAGATAATGCGCACAGTATATTTGGTGGACCTTAATGGATTTTGGCTTCATTAATATTTATTGTTTCACCCACAAAATATATAGTCAATTAACTTTACAGTATATTCTGTGAAGCACTTTGAGACTTCTCAATAATGTTATAAGGTGCTGCATCAAATACAAGGATTGTTATTAATTATTAATATTTTTAAGAGTTATTGAGGCGACAAAAAAGGGTTTGGTATAAAAGATGAAATGCAGCTTTTTGGAGGCCATTTTAGCAATGCCTTTGCAAGTCTTGTTTGAGATCAGAAAATATATTGAACATGAAGAGAACTAAGAATGGATGGTCATGCAAAAGACTTGATGACAGAATTGAAGTAGAAATCCTTTTAAATGAAATAGGAGGTGTAGTGACACACTTTCAGTAATGTCCTGTCTTCTGCACTCCAGTGATGGTCAAGAGAAGGGACCATTCTGACATAAAACACCTCTTGGTTCAAACTAACACAAAGGATTATAAGGTGCAACCTTAGAGGAATCAACAATTGTATGTTTTATATTGATAGCCTGATGGAAATCTCAACCACTGTCCCAACTTGTTATGTCTGAATTTCTAAGTACCCCAACAAACATACTTTGCTCCCCTAAAAGCCACCTTAATGATCTCTCTGAGTACGATTGCCCAATAAATGTTTTGTGCTCACATAGACTCACTGCTACACTATCCAGGAATTTATCTGAAACTGTTCAGGCTCATTCCACTTAGGATTCTTAGCACTTGTTAGGGGACTGAAGGCATTTATACATTCATCCAGTCTGCTTTTGGGCTTCAGCAGGGTCAATTTAATTCACTGTCTCTGTAATTTATCCTCACCATTTGTGGAATGAGTTTTAACTCCAACTTTTAGTCTTTGTTCATCTCAAATTTACATTAAGAACACAAGTGCAAAGGACTTCAAAGGTGTAGGTTGATATATTTGACTTGCAAAACTGAAGTATCTGCTGCTTGCTAGGCACACCGTTCAGTAACAACTTAGCTTGGCAGCATTGAGCTTCCCTTCAGGGTCAAAATCTAGAGCCAAAGAACTTTTTTTGTGCATAACCATCCATTTAGATGACTGTTTGCCCACAAAATACAGTTACTCCACTTTACAGTATATCCTGTGAAGTGCTTCGGGACGTCGTCCTGATGTGAAAGGCGCTATTCCAAATGCAAGACTTATTATTATTTATTGTTATATCTTCTTAGTAGATGTAACAAAATAATTTCCATAAGGTATCTTATAAAGTTTGCAAGTGAAATACGAGCATACATTGTTGGCATGAGTTTAAATAGAAAACTGCTCATGGTTTGGAACTAAACTATACAAATGTAATCTTGTTATTGTAAACTGACATACTCACATAATGACTGGTTGGTGTCAGAAATGCAAAAATTTAGGTGCAGCTAAGGGATGCCACCTTTACTCACTTTCCCACCAGAGGAAAACAGTTTTTAAGTAGCTGATAATCAGTGAGATTGCATTTGATACAGCACCTTTCACATTGAGAAGATACCCCAAAGGACTTTACAGATGTTACTGTACAGTGTACTGATTGTTTACTTTATAAGCAAGTATGGCAGTCAATTTGCATACAGCAATGTCCCACAAACAGCCATGAACTAGATATCATGTTAAAATATTATCATGATAAAATCCTGGCATTTAGCTTTGCACCTATGTCATCAAACATCTCAAAATACTTCACAAAATTTCTGTAAGGTGTAGTGTCTGTATTTGTAAGTGTAGTGGAACACTAATTAGATATCACATTAAAACATTCAATTGGAAGGTTTTGTGATTATTTTATAAGTATATTATATCTGAAGTATTCGTACAGATGGTATAGTCTTTCTCCTTTTGGGAACAAAGTTGAAATCCAGTCCATGCTAATGTAAATTAATTTCCATATGGTATCTTGTAAAGTTTCCATGTGAAATACGAGCATAGGTTGTTGGCATGAGTTTAAACACAAAACTGCTCACA